AACCAAAAGCCATCCCTGCTCTCCAGACATATTAATAATAGTTATATATTTACCTTGTGAATTATCAGTGCTGAAGACGGAGCAAAAAGGTTCCTGAGCAAACTCTACCAGCAAAAAGGGCTTTGTTGTCCCTTCCTCGGCCAGCATGTCCTCCCGCAAGGGGGAGCCATCAACCAGCTCATGGGCTCCACAAGCTGCAAAGCCAGGTTGGAGATGAGTTTTGCTCAGTGAAGAACCCTCCATCCCTGGGCCAGGCTGGAAATCCAGCTTGTTTCCTTCCTGGAAATACAGTTCTTTCTCCACAGCCTATATTTTTCTTCTTCTATTCAGTCCCACTGGTCTCTGACTATCCCCCTCATCAGCCCACAGCTTTCTAGAAGTGCAGCCTCAGGTGGAGCTTTACTTGTTGCCTGGTCCTTGCTGACCTCCTCACTGTGGCACCTCCCCTCATCTATCCCACTCTTGGTACTTGCTTAATTTCCAACTGCATGACATAATGGGAGAGATTCAGCTGCCTAAATTCAGGTATTTAGTGTTGTGATATGGAATGTGCTGCCCCATCTCTATTTGCTCCTTCAGAGTCACGGAATCACGGAATTGTTGGGAGTTGGAAGGGACCTTCTAGAGATCATCTAGTCCAACTGCCTTGACAAAGCAGGATTGCCCAGAGCACATTACTCAGGACTGCATCCAGGCAGGTCTTGAAAATCTCCGGAGAAGGGGACTCCATGACCTCCCTGGGCAGCTTGTTCCAGTGATCTGTCACCCTCGCCATAAAGAAGCTCTTCCTCATGTTTAAGTGGAAGGTCCTGTGTTCCAGCTTTGTCTGTTGCCCCTCGTCCTTCCTCAGAAGCATCCGAGAATCCCACAGACCTCTGTCCCATGCAGATATCTTGGATGCTCCAGGATCATGACAGTTTGTTCAGACAACTGAATTCTGCCTGAGGGTGGGCGTCATGTATCTAATATGAGACATACTCCCCAAAAAGCCACAAAACGGAAGATCCTGGCAGCTTGTTCCAGTGATCTGTCACCCTCGCCATAAAGAAGCTCTTCCTCATGTTTAAGTGGAAGGTCCTGTGTTCCAGCTTTGTCTGTTGCCCCTCGTCCTTCCTCAGAAGCATCCGAGAATCCCACAGACCTCTGTCCCATGCAGATATCTTGGATGCTCCAGGATCATGACAGTTTGTTCAGACAACTGAATTCTGCCTGAGGGTGGGCGTTATGTATCTAATATGAGACATACTCCCCAAAAAGCCACAAAACAGAAGATCCTGAATCATCAGCCTGGAGAAGAGAAGGCTCTGGGGAGACCTTATAGTGGCCTTTCAATATCTGAAGGGAGCTACAGGAGAGCTGGAGAAGGACTCTTTGTCAGGGAGTGCAGTGACAGGACAAGGGGTAATGGTTTTAAATTGGAAGAGGGGAGATTTAGATTAGATACTAGAAAGAATTTTTTTACAGTGAGGATGGTGAGACACTGGAACAGGTTGCCCAGAGAAGCTGTGGCTGCCCCATCCCTGGAAGTGTTTAAGACCAGGCTGGATGGGGATCAATGGGAGGTGTCCCTGCCCATGGCAGAGGGTTGGAACTCGATGATCTTTAAGGTCTCTTCCATCCTAAACCATTCTATGATTTTATGATAATTTAAAGGGAATCATGTTCATACAAATGTTTATAGCCTGGCAGTGAGAACATTGTCTGTGCAATGGCTGGAAAGGATAGAGAAGGATTTTGAGCATAAAACTATTGGACAAGCACTCCTCCTCTACCAGGTTATTACCACTCTTGAAGTGTTGCATTGGTCCTGCACTGCATTTGTCCCATAAAAAACAAAAACAAAAACAAAAACAAAAAACCAAGGCAAACATTTCCAATACATCATTAAACAGAAGAGGTCCACTTTTTGCAATTTTAAAATAACTTTGCAGAATTAGAAAGCTGGGTTTCTGCTCCAGTCTGACAAAGTACAATGTCAGATGCTGTCTGATATTCTCCTTGGCTTCAGTGGGAGCCTGCGTCAGCTGAAGTTTTCTTGTCAAGGTCTTTGTTTCATCCGTTTCCCCGGAGTGCCTGAAAATGGACATAAACAGCTCTCCTGCCACAGGAGACACGATGACGCCTGAGAATTTGAAATGGAAAGCTAACAGAGAAACCAGCACAGCAGGGAACAATTAACTTTGACTGAGGGAGAGGTTTATATTGCTGATATCAAGGCCACTGGGTCAGAACAACATCAACAAATATCACGTACAGAAACAGGCTCCGGTAAGTGGCACCAGTTTCTTCTGCTCTGAAGGAGAACCTGTGCTGTCAGCCCCCATTTCAGCGTGACTTTTTGTAGCACAACTCAAACACTGAAAAGACAGATCCATGTGAAAACTGCGTCTTGAATCTCAGCTCTCCTCTTCTCTTTGTACACCTGCAAAACTGAGGGTGCTGCTGGTGACATCTGCAAACTCTGATAATCTGCACCTCATCACAGAATCACAGAATTATACGGGGTTGGAAGGGATCTCTGGAGAGCATCTAGTCCAACCCCTCTGCCAAAGCAGGACCACCCAGAGCAGGTCCCACAGGAACGTGTCCAGGTGGGGTTTGAATGTCTCCAGAGAAGGAGACTCCACCACCTCTCTGGGCAGCCTCTTCCAGGGCTCTGCCACCCTCACAGGAAAGAAGTTCCTCCTCATGTTTAGGTGGAACTTCTTATGTTCAAGTTTGTGCCCCTTTCCTCTTGTCCTGTCCCTGGGCACCACTGAAAAAAGCCTGGCCCCGTCCTCTTGAGTATTTATAAGCTTTGATCAGATCCCCCCTCTGTCTTTTTTTCTCCAGAATAAAAAGACCCAAGTCCCCCAGCCTTTCCTTGTAAGTATGACCCTGCTCTGTGTCCTGGGATGTCCTAGTTCCCAAGAGAAAGCACTAAGGAGTAACAGGCATCCCATCCACAGACATACCAAATAAATGTGTTTTTTGTTCTGTGAAAGGTGCTTTGAAGGGAAAAGAAAAAAAAAAAAAAAAAAAAGGTCTGTTTTGTTTGTCAGACTGTCCCTGAAAAGCCAGAAAAGTGACAAATCATTTCCTTAAGACTCCCTGGAGCAGAGAGTGGACAAATATTCCTTTCTAGTTCATGAGTGTCCCTAAAGCATTTGATCCTGTTGATGAGAACAGCACGAGCACTCACGGGTTGAACAGTGGCTTCAGGCAATAGGTGCAGGAACCCACAGTACTGATCCCTTCTAAGGTGGCAAGATCTTACTTTTTAAGTAGAAAAATGGAATAGTAATACAATAATACAGTGTGTTCCATGGAAATGAAGTCCTGGCAGCCCAAGCACAAACCAGCCCAGTTAATTCCAGACTGCTGTAACACCTTGTTCTTGGGATAGGGCCCTAGCATTTGAGGAACTGAAGTGGGACATGCTGACTTGGCCCTGGGGAGACTTTCTGGCAACTTCCATGTGTTTTTACTGAAATGCATTGTGAAACCAACTGAGCTCTATGCAGAAGTCCAGGTTGATGTATTCAGATTGACACATATGTTTTCTGTAAGACAACAACCCATTCAAACTGAAACCATGTGGGAAGAACCTTAATTAATCTGCATAGCTTTCCTTAATAAGCCATAACTTTATCTTTGAGGTGTAAGTTCTTCTTTGTTCTTCAGATTTGCTGCGTGACTTAAGAGTGGAGATGGGAAGTGACCTGTGGTCTGCGCTGGCTTGACCCGAATGGGTTAACTAACCATCTGGATATTTTCCAAGGTGTTTGAAAACAAAACGATCAAGTTCAACATCCTGGAAACATAGTTCCTAGTCAATGACAAGACCTGTACTTTCAACTGCAGCCTGGAGATCAGGGTCCAAGGCAGATTGGGAGATTCACCTCAGCAAGGAGGTGATCCCCTTTTCCCGTGCTCCCATACATCCAAGGATCTGCATGCAGTTTCCTTCAATATCCCCATACATCACTATAAGATGTCACATCTCTGGGACACCTCTGCCAGCCCATCGTGTACATGACTCTCTGTACCTGTGTATGTCCCTCATCATCTGCTGCTGAGAGGGGAAGGTGGTTTTCCAGAGTCCCCAATCTGACAGAGGGGTTATTAGCAGGGTCCTCAGTGGCAATTGCCAGGGACTCTACAGCAATGGCGTGGCAAGGTGGACCTCCAGTGCAGGTGGATGGATTTTTGACAAGGATGGATTTTTGTAGCTTACATCTCAGTAGCTGAGTCTGGTGCTGACCATCACTGTTGACCATCAATTGGTTGGCCACACAGGAGTGCCCAGTGCCATTTTGAATAAGTTAGGCCATCTGTTTACCCCTCTAGTCACATGCACATTGTCCCAGAGCTCGTGTCTTACTGGGCAGTCCCACGAGATTCTTGGGATACCCTAGGGCAGCCCACAGGAATTAGACCTATATATTTGGGCAACTCAATGGAGTCATAATATCAACCAGCTGATATTTTCAGACAGAAAACTGGTTGTTTAGTTGGTTCAAATTTTATTTTTCAGAGAGGGAAACGATGCCAAAAAAATCATTTATTTGTATTGACAAATGGAGACTGCAAACTTTGCAGCAGCACCTGGTACCTTCTGCTAGACTCATCACCATCAACAGTCTTATGGCGTTCCCAGGTGCATTTTCTCCCACTAATTTTCTCCAGGTGGTCCATTACCAACCACCTTCATCTTTGAAGCTAACAAGTGATAAAGCTCCCTGAGTGGGTTGGTATTGAGAAGAAGCCTTCCCAGCGGCCAGGTAGGGAGGTATAGTTACCTCTCATCTTGCTTTTGTGACCCTCTGCCATTGTTCAGGTTTAGTGGTGTGCAGCGGTCAAGCTGTACTTGTTCCACCACACTCACCACTGCCAAGATCCCCCCACAGGAACCAGGTCTGTTCCCACTGCCCTATAAATGCCAGAGCGCTCCGTCCTCCCCTGCTCAAAGGTTCTGGAGTTGTGGTCCTGTCTCCACACGGCAGCTGAGACCTTCCACCATGAAACTCTTCTCCTGCCTCATGGCTCTTCTCCTCTTCCTCCTCCAGGCTGTTCCAGGTAAGGGGCAAGACCCACACTGGGATCAAACCAGAAGCCACCACCAGGTGTTTTCTCCTTATGACTCTTTGAAGTCTCTTTATGCCACTTTGTGGCACTACTGGAGGATGGTACCATGGAAATCGTCTGCCTCCCCTTACCTCAGCATCATAAATAGTCTCCCTTGTGTACAGTAGAAGAGCAGCAGAAAGGTTCCTTTATGTTACTCAAACTGAATTACACCAGAGAAGTTTGCTTAAGCTCTCTGAATATGCTGGTTCCTCTTCCTCAGCCCTTCTGCTGCATACTCATTTACTGAGTGTGCTTTCAGCCCAGCTTTTCTTCATGCTTAATGAAACTTCCCACCTTGGAGTAAGTCTTTCAGATAAGGAAGGAACTGGGCCAGCCTCTTGTCCCTGTTAACTGGGCCAGATCCCAGCTTTTGATCTTAGTTTTAAGTCACAGATACACCTCAGGGTCTACAAGCACGGTGCTGTCCCTTGCATGACCAGTTTGCAGCATTTCAGTCCCATAATTTAGAAACATCCAGAGGCTGGGCTGGCCCTAATGACTATAACATGCCCAAGATATGTTCAGAAACTTGCCATCAACAGCTACATTTTTTCTCTAACTGTACAAAGACCTTCCTTTGGGTCCTGTGAGGTTCCATGAGGCTTCTCAAAACTTCTGGAAAAGCTGCCTGGGGCTTTGTATCAGACCCCTAACTGGGGTTTATGGGGTTTCAGCAGGAGGAAGACCATGAGAAATGGACTGATCCTGCAGCACAGCTGGGAATCCCATTCTCCCTGTAGGTCTCGGCTTGCCCAAAGACACCTTACGTTGTGTTGGATACCACGGTTTCTGCTTCCGTTCAAAATCCTGCCCAGAGCCATTTGCTGCGTTTGGAACTTGTTCTTGGCGTCAGAAAACCTGCTGCATAGGTACGTGTGGAAACCCTGCCCAGGCAAGGCAATGTTTGGAGAGGAACCAAAACACATTCTCACTCTCTTTGTCTCCAAATGGCCCAAGCCATCTCCTCCCACCTACAAAGATAAACCTCCCTGTTCCTTCACTGGTGGCCGCATGGAGCAGAGGAACAGAATTGCCATTTTGGGCTAGCCAAATACCACGTAGTCCCATGTCCTATCTCCAAAAGAACAGATGCCTATGAAAATAAATAAAATAAAAATGTGTCCCACACAGAGTCCTCCTTCCTTGATATACCTGTTGGGGGGACTACTGACCATATGCACAGAATATGGATGCATGTTTAAACACATATGTGTGTTTAATAGGTGCCACGTGACCTCTTCCCTGTAAATTGATCTAATCTGTTCTGGACTTGCTTATTTTTGGAGCTCCTCAATAGTCAGCTTGTATCATTAGGTCAATACATGCTTCATAGTCAACTGTGTTAATCAGACCTAAGGTTCCTCTGATCGAACGTCCTGTATCTGTCCGTGGCCCCAAGTGGATGTTTCCATACAGCTACTCTGTGTGTGTAAAATGACTATTAATGAACACCACAACCATATAATTACACTTCCTTATATATTCTCCTGGCTTTCCTGAATTTGCAGCTCAAGACTTTTGGCTTTAGGTATCTTTGTGCTTAAAAGTCCTTACTGGATTTTCCCTCCTTAGATTTGGAATTCTTTTTTCTTTTTTTTTTTAATTAAAAAAACCACTGTTCCCTCAATTTTATTCAGTACCACCTCGTTCTGTACTGCAAATGAAATGTAGACATTCTGCATCCACCTTCTTCGTACCTTTACAATATCCCTCCTTCAGTTGTTTCTTTTCCAAGTCGGTGGGTCACAAATTCGTCTCCTTACAGAAGTGTTCTATAGTTCTTCTTTGTGTCTTTGCTTCTGGAGGCACAGTAACCAGAACTTCATGACACTTTCCATGTATGAGCTGGTTCAGATGGTGGTGTAATGCTTTCTGTTTTGACTCAAAATCCTTTCCATTGCAGACACGACCTCAAACTTCCATACTTGTCAAGACGAAGGGGGTCACTGTGTATCTCCAAAAATCAAATGTCTGCAACAACAAGTGGGACTTTGCCCTCACAGGAAATGGAAGTGCTGCACAGAAGTGTAATAAAGACCTCACAGAATTGCAGATAACCACAGAGCTAGATGGACAAGAAAACAAACAACTTATCTTCCTTGTGTTGTAGAGAAGTTGTCTGCTTTTATCAAAATGTGAAGTATATATAAGAAATGTTTCTTTATATAAGAAGGGCAATAAATGCTAAATAAACAGGTCTAACAGTTGTATATGTATGGAGGGAGACAGAATGTCTCTCCATTATGCTCACACACAGAAATCCACAGGAACTTTGCTGAAACATCCCCTTGTAATCCAAACTACTGCTCCCTCCCTTCTCTGCCTTCCTTTCTTCCTTCCTACCTTTCCTTCCTAATGGTGAGGCCATGTCTACACTATTCAGGTCCCATTCTCCAAAGCAGGAGGCCAGTCAACTGCTCTTCCCCACCTCCTTATTTCTACCAACAAACTGCACCCATTAGGGCACAGGTACCCCCTATGGGAAGTCTTCATGTGTGACTGGACAAATGGATCTAAACCCATCTATTTAAAACTATTTTATGCAGTTCATGGTTCCCTTTGTGGTAAGTTTGAATTTATTAATTGTGGAAGTTTCATTCAAAATGTAGACAAGAAAGGGTTTGCTTCTGAGATCTCTCATCAATTATAAGGCACGAAGCGGATGAAGAGAGGGGAGCAATGGTGCTTGGGAGGGGTCTGCAGGGAAAAATCAAGCCCACACCCCTCTGTTGGAGTGGAAACGCACCGAAAAAACAACACATCAAAAAAAATGGCCTGGGGAGAGGAGGTGGAAAAATTCTGTCCTTTGTAAAACCTGAGCAGGCTCATCTAGAAATTATTACCAGACGGTAGCAGGCAGTCTGCTGACTCTGCTGTTCCTCCAAGATCAGTATCTCCCTAACTCAGAATGGTCCACAACTTCGAACCCTTTTGCCAGACCTGCCTTGCAGGTTTGCCCACCACATAGCCCAGAGGGGCAAGTCCAAACACTACAATGTGCAAACAATTGTGTAAAGGTCCCTCACCGGCTCCTTGCTGTAGACCCAAAGGAACAATCCCACTCCTAAGGAACTAGTTCCCACTCCAAGAGGGTGGTTTGACCTATCTCTTGTCCAGCAGGTGACCATGGAATAATGAAAATAATAAGTGGAGAAGGAAAATGAGGGGTTGGCCAGCACTTGACTGCCCTAGATCAGGACTGGTCAGCCTTTGAACAAGATATTTCAACCCATCTGAGCCTAGAGAAAGAAAAAATCTATCTTTTGCTCTTCTTGGGTTTAGGGCCAGACTCAGTTTCCCACAGTTGGACATTGGTGTCCCTTGAGATGACCCAGGGTATCATGCCAGGCTTCCAGAGTGACTTGTCTGCAGAAATCCCCAATACCTAAACATCTCAAGGGACATAAATCGAGTTTTTCATGCCTGCTGATCAAGGAGATCCAACTTTGACTCTATCAAGCGCATCTGATCTAATATGTTTTTTAGGGAGAAGGGAATTTTTACCTTTGATCTTTTGACTATCCAGTTTAGGATGTATTCTCATAGTTTTATTAACACAGCCGAAGGGACAGCAAACAGCAGGACCAGGCAGGGGCAGCAGCCAGGAGAGAGTCAGTGGAATATCTCAGGCTGATGTTACAGCAAGAGCTGCATATCCATCACATAGTTACCACCAAGTGGTGCGTTGCTGAGCTTAACCCGCTACCTCCTCCACCAGCGCTGTGTGCTCATCAGGCTCAGGAATGAAGCCTCCCAAATTCCTAGCAAGCCAAAGCTGGAATTGCCTTTTTGGCAGGAGAAAAAAAATCACACCCAGGTTTCAGTGGGAGAAAATATTCACAGGAGCTCAGATGAAAGAAATGAGTCACTCCTAGCCTGCACTATCCTCCTTGCAGCTCCTCAGGAGGCTTTCTTTGCAGGTTGCCACCTTCCCACCCATCAGCTCCCTGGGGGACTTTGGTGGCTGCAGGTGAAGGGCAGAGCGTTCCCCTGAGCCTTTTTTTTCACCGACCAGCCTGCAACTGGCAATTTACCAGCCCAAAATGCCAACTGCCAGGGAGAGGCATCGGGGAAACCGATAACCAGCGAACGTGAAGCAAGTCAACAATTGTTTGGAGCCGCTTCGCCGGGTCGGAACGACACGGAGGGTTTCTCAGCAGCAAATGTTACTCCCGAGACTGGAATATCATTAACTCCTGCCTACTCCCTCCTGCTGCCCGGATGCCCTCCAGAATGCCATCAGCACGCAGAGGCTTCTGCAAATTCTCACACTGAGCCCTGTGCCCTTCCAGCAGGACCAAAGCAATGGGGATCCTTTGGTTCATTTTAATCTTCGTCTCCCTCACCTCTCACGGTAAGACCAGGAAGGCCAAGGGTGGTAAGCAGAAGTATCTGGGAACAGGAATAATTTTTCCTCATCGTATAATCAAATCTAAATATTATGGGTACAGAGGGAGAAAGGTGCCCTCAGGTTCCTGCTTGATATAGTGAGTGAGGTACTTTGGCAAAATGCATGATTTCCCTTGGGGTAATGCAAAAACGAGCGAGGAAGAAGCTGTGAAAAGGGGGCACCTCACTGTCTTTCTAGGAGCAGAGAGGTTGGAGAGGCCCTAGAGGAGATGTCCTGCACTCTGGGAAAATGTTTCTGCCTTTTCTCAGGCTGCAGCTGCCTCTTTGGTTGGGCAAGAACAACCGCTCTGACCTCCCGTGCGCGCTCTCTGCCAACATCCTGAACAAACAACCGCATGATAAAATGTTCCTTGAGTGAGGCTGGCTCTGAAACTTCATTTTTTTAACAGATGTCTGAAGCTGTCCTTTGGGGCAGGGATCCCGGGTGTGCTCTTTGCAGCTGTGCATGCCCAGGCTCCACGCAAGCTCATGGTGCTGGCTCTGCTGGCCAGGAACGTGATGCCAGGAGGGATATTGGGCTGCATCCCCAGCAGCGTGGCCAGCAGGGCCAGGGGGGGATTCTGCCCCTCTGCTCTTCTCTGGGGAGACCCCCCCCAGTGCTGCCTCCAGCTCTGGGGCCACCAACAGCAGAAGGACATGGAGCTGTTGGAGCTGGGCCAGAGGAGGCCCCGGAGATGCTGGGAGGGCTGGAGCCCCTCTGCTGGGAGGGGGAGCTGAGAGAGTTGGGGGGGGTCAGCCTGGAGAAGAGAAGGCTCCGGGGAGACCTTGGAGCCCCTTCCAGTCCCTCAAGGGGCTCCAAGAGAGATGGGGAAGGACGCTGGATCAGGGAGGGGAGCCACAGGACGAGGGGCAATGGTGTTAAACTGGTGTTAAATTGGGGAGATTGAGACGGTATGTTAGGAAGAACTTCTTTGGTGTGAGGGTGGTGATACCCTGTCCCAGGTTGCCCAGAGAAGCTGTGGATGTCCCATCCTTGGAGGTGTTAAAAGGCCAGGCTGGACCAGGCTTTGAGCAACCCCATCTAGTGGGAGGTGTCCCTGGGCAGGTGGGTTGGAATTAGATAATCTTTAAGGTCCCTTCCAACTTAAAAAATTCTATGATTCTATGATTTTATACACCACATGCATTTTACCCACCAACTCGCTGCTTCCTTGTACAGGAGATGCTTACGGACCAGACAGCTGTAAACAGGAAGGGGGCTTATGCCGACTTGGAAACTGCGTTTCTGGTGAATACCTGGCTAACTACTGCTTCCAACCCATCATTCTCTGTTGCAAAACCTTGTCACCCACTACCACCAAGAGCTGAAGATTTCCAAAGGAGAGAAATGCAGCTCGTGGAGAGCTGCTGGCTCCCCCGACAAGGAAGGGGGAGCAGATGTTGTGCCTTTCTGTGACTGTTGCTCTTCTGGGAAAACATGCCTGTAGATTCACTTGTGGATTTCTGAATGTGTTGCTTTTTTGCTTTCGCTGTGCTCTGTGACTGTTGCTCTTCTGGGAAAACATGCCTGTAGATTCACTTGTGGATTTCTGAATGTGTTGCTTTTTGCTTTTGCTGGGGCTTTCTAGGAAACACTGTGACAAGAAGAAATTGGGACCGCCCAGATGATTATGTATTGCCCCTTTGGGCATCTGCTTGTTACCTGTTGTGCACAGGTGAGAAATGGCTTCTCCCCTCACCTGAAAGCAATAAATCTGACATTTAGCAGAACAGCAAATGCCGTCTGTGATTCCTCCTGACACTCAGCAAAGCTGCCGCTGGTAGGATGCTCCCTCTCCCACTGACCAGCAGTGACCACAGCAGCCCACACCTTCCCAGCAGAACTGGGTGGCTCTGCCTCTTTATTTCCCTCCCCAGAGAAAACAGTTGCAATGAGAGTAGCCTTTTTTCCATCGCTTTTGGTGCAAAAGCTACCCAGTTTGACATAAAGGCAAGCGTGGTCTGTGTTTCTTAGGCAAGACCTGCCCCCACCCCCATATCTACTCTTCCTTTCCAGGCTGTGCCAGGTTCCTACAGGCACTGGGAAGGGCTGGCCAGAGAAATAAGGCACAGAAAAAGGAGCAGGGATTCCCCACATGCACACAGACCCCTTTCCCCATTGGGTTCATAACAGGAATGTGCTGTCCATCAGCCACCAACTAGACCAGAAAATGCAAAACCCAGCAGGGTTGTCACAGAATCATAGAATAATAGAATGATTTGGGTTGGAAGGGACCTTAAAGACCATCCAATTCCAACCCCCTGCCCCAGGCAGGGACACCTCCCACCAGACCAGGTTGCTCCAAGCCCCCTCCAACCTGGCCTTGAACCCCTCCAGGGATGGGGCAGCCACAGCTTCTCTGGGCAACCTGGGCCAGGCTCTCACCACCCTCAAAGTGAAAAATTCCTTCCTAATATCTAATCTAAATCTCCCCTCTTCCAGTTCGGGGAAACTTGCTTGTTTTAAACATGGTGGAGAATGGATCTGAAAGTTGTGTACCATTGCCCTTGATGGGCTGCTCTCCTCATCCACAGACTGCGTTTCTGGTGCTCCTCCTTTCCTCTGCAATCACCCAGCAATAATCCCAAAGCAATTAGCCTGTTTGCACCTAACAGCTCTCTGCCTACGAACTGCATCAGGC